ACGATCCTGTAATATTTATGTATGATCCTACATATAGTTACGTACGATATAAAAATAGTTACGTACGATCCTATAAATAGTTATGTACGATCCCATAAATAGTTACGTACGATCCAATAAATAGCCATGTACGATCCTATGAATAGTAAAGTACGATCCTACATATAGTTTAGTTACGTACTATCCGATAAATAGTTACGACGATCGTTTTGAGTTATGGCCTTGACTTGTCAAAAAAATTTTCAGAGTTTAATAGAAATACGGTTTTCATCTTTCATCTGATTAAAATGAAATTTGGTGTGATTATATATATTGATGAGATCTTGGATAAGGTGTTATTTGACAATTTTTCGACAAACGGTTTCGAGTTACCGTCCTTGAATTAGTCAAAATTTGTTCGCAAGAATGACTACCGTGTAAGTTTTTACTATCATGAAAATAGTTTTTGAGTTTATCGCCATTTGTATCATTTTTAGAGCTTATTCCGGATTGTCAAAATGGTGGACAGTTTGTGGCAGAAGATGGTAAATTGAAATGTTCTTGTCCATCAAAAACATTCGGTGACGATTGCAGTAAGTACACACTGAAAAAAGTTGTTTACTAATCCTTCCTTTACGCTCTTGTAGTCGTTTGGGACAATAAACAGACTGTTCAAGTTACAGATCCCTTGACAGTTGGAAATCTCAAAAAGACGCCGAGTTGTTCAGATGGGTCAATAAATCGAGGCCCCGTGTGCTATAGGCTGTAAACATTAAAGATTCCTAGACATTTTGAAATCGAAAAAGAGTATGTTAATGTCAATGTCCTGATAATGTCGCTCATTGCACACTTTATTAGCCCACCAGGTGCAAAAATGTAGGACGAAAAACTCCATTCATTTTATTCTCTGCATGTAGGTCTAGGAGTTTGTGATGTTGAAAGTGAAAACCCTTGTGCCAGTGGTAGTACCTGTATACCGGGAGAAAACATTGCTGATGTTCCCAACTGTGTTTGCACGCCCGGTACAACTGGAAAATATTGTAACGGTAAGTAGAGCCAGGAGTGAATTAAGTAAAAAGACAAAACCTTAACTACCATTGTAGAGTTCAAAATGCAACTAAGCAGACGAATTATTTAGGCTGTGCTCTTTGAGTGTCTTGATAATCTAGCCGTGTTCTCTTAGTGTCTTATTAATAGAGTCTACCGGAAATGGACAAGCGCACGGGGTACATTATTAGTGAACGCATGGTTGCAAGGTGTGGACTGGAAATAATTTTTCACCGTCGTTCATACGTCGTGGTCTTAAATTGTGATAGATATGAATGTATATTTTGTGAACTTTGTGAATTTGTGAACTCTCTATTATGTACCATTAATCTGAGAATATAGAACAGTATATATTTTATCTATGTGTTGTGAATGACGCGTTCAAAACCTCTCCACGCTCCCCCAACCTACATTGCTTGTGAAAAATTTTCCAAACTGAAGTTTTGAATACAGAACTTTATACGTGAACGTGACTGAAGTGTGAATATGAGTGAATCAAGTGAAACAACTCCACCGCCAGTTCTTCAGAGAATTGAAAATCCGAACAATGACAGTCAAAATGTCAGTCAAAATGGTGAACACGTGGACACTGAAACTTTCTCAACGGAAGCCGGTGAAAATAATGGTGAAAGCGTCCCACATGGGGCCGGTGTAAACTTGCCTGCACCCCAGAACATTTTAAATCAGAGTGACAATTTGCCAATAATTAATCCTGAGGATAGTGCCTCGAATGTTGGGAAAAGGTCAAATCTGTCAAAGACAAGCCGTACATCAGTTATGAAATTGAGAAACAAACAGAGAGAAATAGAGTTAAAATTGGAATTAGCAGCTTTACAAGAATCAAACTGTTTAGAAGAAGACAGATTAAAGATTGCCCGAAGGGCTGAAGAAGAAAATCACAGACTCGTTAGAAAACAAAAAGAAATCATAGTGATGTCAAAATTACAGGCTGCACGTGAAGTTAGTGAGATGTTCGATAATGATATTGCCAACGCGTCTGCAGTAGAGGTCAAAGTTCAGCAGTCAAGGCCTACACCTGTAATTGCTAGTCCTATTGTTAAACAAACACCAGTGATTACAACTCAAATAAACACACCAGTGAATGATATTCCACCAGTGAATATGACTAATATTGTAAATTCAGAACTCGTGACTGTCTTTAATAAATTGTTAGAGAACCAGAAAGATCAAAGCTTACCGACTCAAGATATAGAGCCCTTTGATGGCAAGAACATTCTAAACTATCAAACATTTATTACAAATTTCCAGTTCGTGGTTAAACGAAATACCGATGATCCAGCACGTAGATTGGAATTTTTGTTGAAATACACAAAAGGTGATGCGCACGAACTTATAAAATTCTGTCCCTTGATAGACCCCCCTAAGAGTGGATATGAAAGAGCAAGATTTCTATTAAAGAGAGACTTCGGTGATTTAACTGCCATAGCCGCAACATTTATGAATGAAGCTGACAATTTACCTAAAGTGACATCTGGTGACAAGAAAGGATTGCGAAAATTCTCGCTATTTCTGATAAACTGTATTAATTCTAAACAAAACAATCGGGAAATGTGTTGTATGGATGGTTATGACTTTATAAATAAACTCTGTGAGAAATTGCCTAAGCCTATACAACAACAGTGGATTGGACAAGTAGGAAAATCTCGAGATAGGGAATTTAGAAGCCCTGTATTAGACGATTTTGAAACCTTTGTGAGTAGACTAGCCAGAAATGAAAACGATCCAAGAATTTGTGGTTTGGGTTATCAAAATACAAACTCATATCAAGGCCAAACTCATACAAATCCTAAAAGACCTAATCCAAGTTTGAAGAAGAGTTTATCAACCATGGTGAATAAAGTGACAGATCAAAACCTAGCAGCAAAATATCCTTGTTTACATTGTGGTAGCGAAACAAAGCACTGTTTACATGATTGCAGAAAGTTTGCAGCTCTAAGCCCTACAGAAAAGTCAGAGTGTATAAAGCAGAAGGGACTTTGTTTCTCTTGCCTAAACCCTGGACATTTAAAAGTGAATTGTGCTAATAGACAGTGGGCTAAATGTGAGAAATGTGACAGACAGCACCACACTATTCTACATGATTCAAGCAAGGACAAATCCAAATCAGATAGTGAACAAACAGTTTCATCTGGATTTACATACAAATAGAACTGACGTCATCAGTCAAGGAGAACCGCTTATGTCAGTTGCTCCTGTGAGAATTCGTTCCAAATTAAGTGGTCACAGTGTGACAACCTATGCTTTTATTGACAATGGGTCAAGTTCTGGTTTCTTGACATCTGAACTAAAATCTAGACTATCTTTGCGTACTAAAGGTACAAATGTGAGACTGAAAACACTGAATGAAGACAAAACAATCAGGACTGAAATAACTATAGACTCTATGGAAATTAGTGATTTAAAGGGTGAATCCTACATAACTCTTCCTGCATCATATATTCAAGATGAAATGCCAGTTACAGTAAGGGATGCACCAACACAGTCAGATTTATTAAAATTTGAACATTTTAAAGGGATACAAGTGCCAGATATTTCTAATATTGACATTCCGAAAGTGACACTTATGTTAGGAATCAATGTTCCAGCTGTGACAACACCTATGGAAATAGCAACTGGGACAATAGGACAACCTTATGGTATCAAGGGTCCTATCGGTTGGCTCTTTTATGGTTTCAAAGGGAAACTTACTGATAAAAATATGAATCGAGTGAACTTTGTGCATTTAGATGATAAATTGAATGAACAAGTAAAACACTACTTTAATTTAGAATTTTCTGAACGTTTGTGTGAAACGAAAGTGGGACCTTCAATAGAAGATAAACAATTCCTGAACATTATGCAACAATCAACAGTTTTAAGAAACGGACACTATGAAACGAAACTACCGTTTCGAGAACCAGACGTGAAAGTTCCAAATAATAGACTTCAAGCTCAAATTTATGCTAATCGTTTACGCAAAAGACTAGACCACAACGAATCATTATTAGAACAATATACAGAGTTCATGAACAATATTGTGAGTAAAAACTATTGTGAAAAAGTGCCTTTGTATGATGTGAACAGAAACGATGGCAGGGTGTGGTTCATTCCCCATCACCCAGTCGTACACCCACGAAAACAACGTGTTAGAGTAGTTTTCAACTGCCCTCTTATTTACAATAACGGTGAAAAGGATTATTCATTAAATAAACTACTGTTATGTGGACCTCACAATCTAAATTTATTATTAGGTGTATTGCTTAGATGGCGAAAGGACAATATAGCCATTCTCGCTGATATCGAGTCAATGTTTTATCAGGTGCGTGTCAACAAAGAAGACTGCGATATGCTAAGATTCTTATGGTGGCCAGACGGCAACTTGAATAAACCGCTCACAGAATATTGCATGTTGGTTCATTTGTTCGGTGCGGTTAGTTCGCCCAGCTGCTCTAATTATGCGCTGAGACGTGTTGCTACAGACTTTAAAGATTATTATAGACCAGAAGTTTTACAGTGTATCGAAAATGACTTTTACGTGGATGATTTCCTCAAATCCGTGTCATCTGAGAAAGAGGGAATTCAACTTATCCAAGAACTGTGTGAACTTTTATCTAAAGCAGGTTTCAACCTAACAAAGTTTATGAGTAATAGTAAAGAACTCTTAAAAGCTGTTCCCAATGATAAAAGAGAAGAATCTATTCGTAATTTGGACTTCGACATAGACAGCCTTCCTGCTAAACGTGCCCTTGGTGTGGAATGGTCCGTTGAAGATGACACTTTGGAATTTAAAGTGGACATATCTAACATTAAAGTGAACGCGACAAAAAGAAATATTTTGTCAATAATGAGTTCGATCTATGACCCTCTCGGTATTGCAGCGCCCTTTATACTAAAAGCTAAAGTATTATTACAGGAACTTTGCAAACAAAAGGTGACATGGGACGAAAATGTGTCGGATGAATGTAAACGTGAATGGGACAAATGGATATTAGATTTACAGAATCTGAAGAATGTCAAAATCAAACGTTGCTATAAGCCTTCAGATTTTGGAACTATTATTAATACGCAGATGCATCACTTTGCAGATGCTAGCCAATACGGATATGGATCAGCTAGCTATATTCGACATGAAAATGATGAAGGTGCTGTGAATGTGTCTTTTTTGATAGGCAGGTCACGTGTGGCTCCTATTAAGCCAATGACAATTGTGAAACTTGAACTAGCAGCTGCTACAACAGTAGTCCGAATGAACACTCTGTTAGTCCGAGAATTATCCCTGTCTGTTGACGAAATCTTCTTTTGGACAGACAGTCAAACTGTTATTAAATATATACGAAACAACACAACAAGACATCAAGTTTACGTTGCAAATCGTCTTGCTGTTATCCAAGATGGTTCATCAGAACAACAATGGTGTTATGTTCCAACAGCCGTCAATCCAGCAGATCATGCCTCCAGAGGACTTTGTGTAAATGATCTTATTACAGAAAATTGGTTAAGAGCTCCAGATTTCTTATATCAATCAAAGGGTGAGTGGCCTAAAACACCAGAATTTAGTGAGTCGCATTCTAAAACAGTAGATGTCAATTTTGCTGAAATTAGTGAAGAGTTTAAAAGTGCAATGGATAAATTACTGACATATTATTCTGATTGGAAACGTCTCAAAAGAGGTATTGCTTGGTTTATAAGATTACAAAACATTCTTAAGGAGAAATCAAAAGATAAGACAATTAATGATGATCTTAAAAGTAAAATATTGACCAGTGATGAGGTAGCTAGTGCCGAAATTTCTATTTTAAGATATGTGCAAAAATCTGAATTTCCTGATGAGTACAATGCTTGTGTTAATCAATCTAATGTGAAATTAAAAAGTGTAATGTCAAATTTGGATCCTGTTCTAAGGAATGATCTTATTTGTGTCGGTGGTCGCTTAAGGCATGCTAACATCCCGGAAGATGCTATGCATCAAATTATTTTGCCGAAAGATGCCCATGTATCAAAATTGATAGTGCGTGATTGTCACCGAAAGGTTGGTCATCAAGGCCGCAACCACACTCTTTCGGAAGTGCGTCAAAAGTATTGGATTATTAAATCGGGTGTGTTAATTAAAGAAGTGATCAATAAATGTGTATCGTGCCGAAAGATTAATTCGCATGTCGGACAACAAAAGATGGCGGACTTGCCTAAATCTAGAGTTGTGTCCGATCAGAGTGCTTTCTCTATCGTTGGAATAGATTATTTTGGAAATTTTGAAGTGAAAATAGGTCGATCAATGAAGAAAAGATATGGAGTTATCTTCACGTGCTTCTCATCACGTGCAATTCACATTGAAGTGGCCGATTCGTTAGATACCAGCTCGTGTGTGAGTGCACGGGTTTATAGCCCGTCGCGGAGTGCCAAAGGAGTTTTACTCCGATAATGGAACAAACCTTGTGAGTGCGAGCAAGGAATTACAATCTGGAATTAAGGAATTGGATCAGTCGTTATTCAATCAACTTGCTGTGAATTACAATTTCAAGTGGAACTTTAACCCTCCTACTGCGTCTCACCATGGTGGAGTATGGGAGAGGCAAATTCGCACCATCCGTAAAGTGCTTCAATCTATTCTTAATGAACAATTTGTGAAAACATGTGAATCCCAAGAAGAACTACATACTTTGTTATGTGAAGTAGAGACAATAATAAATAGTCGCCCTCTTACTCGTGTATCAGAGGATCCCAATGATTTGAATGTTATAACCCCCAATTCATTGCTTTTATTGAATCCCCTACCGAGTTATCCCCCAGGAACATTTTGTGATAAGGATATCTACAGCAAACGTAGGTGGCGCCAAATACAATATTTAGCTCAATTGTTTTGGAAGCGATGGGTGAAGGAATATCTCCCAACTTTGCAGTTAAGACAAAAATGGCTTAGACCTCATCGCAATATTCAAATAGGTGACATTGTGTTAGTAGTAGACGACAGTGGCCCTCGCTGTTCATGGCCTATGGGTCGTGTAGTAGAAGTTTACCCCAATAGAAATGGACTTGTGCGAAGTGTCAAATTGCGCACACAAACTGTGTCTTTAGTCAGACCCATAAGCAAACTATGCCTGATACTTGAACTTGAAGAGTAAATACATGATGTAATGTGAACATTTGAATTTTAATTCAAATTTTTGATTTCCGAATCTCTTTAGAACAGTGTGTGACTAAACTTTGTGAATTTTTTGAAAATCTTTATGTGATCCGTCATATATTACCCCTTCGATGATTTTGTGAACTATTGTTTGAATTTCTTTTAAGAACCTTAACTTGTGAAAACGTGAAACGTGAAATATTTGTTTTAAGTTTAAGAATTATTTGTTACTTAACATAATGTATGTTATCATTACATGTACTTTAATTTTCTTTGAATTAGATTGTGTATTGTTTCAAGAGCTATGATGTGCATAGTATTATTATTATTAGTTGTCAATGTTGCTTCTCAGTTAGGAGTATAATCTTTTAGTTAATATTTTGAATATGATGTTGATAATTTTGTATATTATTATTGTAATACTAAGATAGGGGCCGGAATGTAGAGTTCAAAATGCAACTAAGCAGACGAATTATTTAGGCTGTGCTCTTTGAGTGTCTTGATAATCTAGCCGTGTTCTCTTAGTGTCTTATTAATAGAGTCTACCGGAAATGGACAAGCGCACGGGGTACATTATTAGTGAACGCATGGTTGCAAGGTGTGGACTGGAAATAATTTTTCACCGTCGTTCATACGTCGTGGTCTTAAATTGTGATAGATATGAATGTATATTTTGTGAACTTTGTGAATTTGTGAACTCTCTATTATGTACCATTAATCTGAGAATATAGAACAGTATATATTTTATCTATGTGTTGTGAATGACGCGTTCAAAACCTCTCCACGCTCCCCCAACCTACAACCATTATAGGCTTGGGAATAAATATTGCCGTTTGTATAATTGTAGATACCATCAAGGATTGTAAAAATGGTGCTGAGCAGAAGGAGGTTAATGGTGAATTTATTTGTGATTGTGTAGCAGGAACGTTCGGTGACGATTGTAGTAAGTTCAACAAGAAAATTGTTTAAAAGTGATAAATCCGCCATTTCAGTTTTCAGAAGTACCAGAAATGTACGAATATCGCACAATTCTTTCAAAAATACCTCATACAAAGAATTTCATTTCATATTTCTATAGATGTATTTTCTATATATGACCGTGTCTCATAAAAAGGACGACTAGTCTTTTTAACTTTCGAATGCGCATTATTCTGTATTTGAAGGCTGAAATTTCGACGTTGAGCTGTGAACATTATTACATTATTTGCATCACTTCCGGTTTGCACGAAATCTAGGTGCTAACTTCCGTTTGACCCACTTCCGTTTTTATGTATGAAGGTCACTGAAACTTATACTAATAAGCAAATAACTTTAAAAAGCAGAGGCATTTTCTACACACGAAACTTGATAGTTGAATACGGATAGTAGCACATTGCAAAATGTGCAAAAATAGATAATTTACTCAAGAAGAAGAAATTTTGGAGCGATTTTGCTTGGTTTTTGATTTTCAGAATTTCGGAAGAATATCTTATGTGATAGCTGTTAAAAAGTCGAGTTTTGATATTTTATAGCACACATTTTTAGCCGAATTTTGCAAATTTTTATCAAATTTTCTATTTTGTTGTCCATGCGTCCGGTGGATTTGAAATTTCTGCTGCCAAAACAGATCACTTCAGAAAACAAATTGGCACAATCAAAAATTTTGCATCACTTCCGGTTTGCGAGACATCGAGGCGCTAACTTCCGTTTGACCCACTTCCGTTTTTATGTATGAAGGTCACTGAAATGTATACTAATAAGTAGATAACGTTATGACTTTAAAAAGCAGAGGCATTTACTATACACAGAAATTGATAGTTTGGCCGCCATTTTGATTTTTCTGAAATTATTCCAAAATTTTATGAAGAGATTACAGCTTATCCGATTTTGATGATTTTGGTGTCAAATTAAAGAACATTAGAATTAAAAAAAAAACTGAAGTTAGCCGATTTTTTAATTTCGTTTTTGGCTTTTTTGCAATTTCCGGTTCAATTTGTTTGAAATTTGAAGGCTCATATATCGTGACCTTGAACTTTGATGAGCTTCATATTTATCGTCATGATAATAGCTGACGTTCAACTTATTATGACCTTTTGACTTTTAAGGTTAGTCCACAGTTTTATAGGGGTCTAAATACTGTCAATTTTGCACTTTTGCAGTGCTGTATCTCAAACCCTCTTTGATTAGCACCCTACCACCTTCAGATTATTTATATACTTATTTAATGGTTTCAAATAATATCGCATTTGATGATGTCAAGGGCATATTAAAGAAAATGTTAAAATGGAAGCACTTTAAAGGTAAACCCCGACTTAATTTCACAACTTTCTTATTTCTTATCCTTATTTCATCAAACTTGGTATGTATGTTTATAATCAAATTCTAATATTGATAGAAATATTGAATTTTTGTTGTCCGCACGCGCATTTCCAACTTTTTTTTATTTCTTATCTAAATTTGTGTCCTCCGCCGTATGTACCTTTATGTTGTAACACGCCCTGCATTAGTACTGTTAAGGGAACATTTCCAGTCTATTTTTTGGCCAATCATACTTTAGTCTCAGAAACAGGATTTTTATGCTAAGCCAATCAGTAATAGTGTTCACAGTTCACCGTCGAAATCGATGTATGTCTAGAATAATCAGCGTATGAAGGTTAAACTGACGACTACTATGTGATATATAGAAAAGACAGATATAGAAATAGAAAGTAAAATTCTTAGTTTGAGATATTTTGAAGGATTTATTCGATTTTCGTACATTTTTAGTAACCCTGAAAACTATTAACATATATTCAAGAATGAAATCAACCTCCCAAAATGGCGCACCTGTCCCTTTTAACCTATTCCTCGACTGTAATTTGATATCGCGTGGGACATTGTAAAATATCCGGTAATATCTTGATGGATTCAGCTTTGTAGAGACACATACAGTTACACCAAATTTAGTTTTAAGTCAGGTGACAATAAAAACAGTGTGCTACAGGCTGTATAAGTCAAAGACCCCTCTTGAGTTGGAAATCGAAAAAGAGTAGACGCTCTCCTGTTAAAATGACCATGATTGCACATTACATAAGCCGATGAGGTGAGACAAGTAAGACAATTTCTACCATTTCAATGACATTTTCTTCGTGTAGGTCTAGGAGTTTGTGATGTTGAAAGTGAAAACCCTTGTGCCAGTGGTAGTACCTGTATACCGGGAGAAAATATCGCTGATGATCCCAACTGTGTTTGCTTTCCCGGTACAACTGGAAAATATTGTGACGGTAAGTAGAGCCAGGAGTGAATTATGTCTGAGTTAAAGGGATATTCCGCTTTTAGTAAAATGTTATTTATATCTATGTATCTACTTGATTAAACTGAATTTGTTTTAAACGGGTTAATTAAAAACTGAGAGCACTAATTGTTAATAAAGCAGTTTTACCTAGTTTTGGTGTTTGGCTTTATAATGCCTCGATATTATTAGTTGAAATCTTTAGAATACTAAAGAAAAAGAAAAACGGAGAGCACTAAACTACTATTATAGGCTTGGGAATAAATATTGTTGTTTGTATAATTGTAGATACCATCAAGGATTGTAAAAATGGTGCTGAGCAGAAGGAGGTTAATGGTGAATTTATTTGTGATTGTGTAGCAGGAACGTTCGGTGACGATTGTAGTAAGTTGAAACAAGAAAATTGTTTTAAAGGGACGAGTCCGCCATTTCTAGGGGTTGATTTGAGTCATAGTTTTCAGAAGTACCAGAAATGTACGAAAATCGCACAATTCTTTTAAAAATACCTCATACAAAGAACTTCATACTTCTATAGATGTCTTTTAACTTTCAAACGCGCATTATTCTGGACACACATGCATTTGAAGGCTGAAATTTCGACGGTCAGCTGTGAACATTATTACTTATTGACTTAGCTAAAATGGTCATTTCTGAATCTAAGGTATGATTGATCAAACAAAACTGGTTCAACTAACAGGGACTGGTTGAACCAGGTCCATAGACCTCCACCCTTAAAGGAGCTCCACCCAGGAAATCTTCCAGTAACAGGAGTTATATTGACTTACAGACGGATCTCAGGGTACAGGATAGTATATGTTAAAAACAAAATTCCCAGGAGAGGAGCTTAACCCACTTAAAGAGATAGAGGGGCCAATTTTTTTAACAATCGTATTTTATTGTAACAAATTCCCGAATCTGAGAAAAAGGTCTGATTACTCAAAAATGGCGAATCTGTCCCTTTAAAGCGACTCTTCGTCATTTTTTGCAGGGTGTGCTTTGGACGCCTGCTTTGTTTTCTTACTTTCAAAAAAAGTATTTATGAGTGTCGAGTACTCTGCAGAAACTATAATCGTTACATTACATTACATTAACAATGCATTGGATCTGCATATTTGGTTTTTTATATATCCACATGAAATGGGCGGCGTATATTGCCGTCACCTCATTCCGTCGGTCCGTCCGTCCGTCCACAATTGCTCGTAAACACTTTACAAGGCACAATTCATGACGGATTTTGATGAAACTTGGTATGAGTGTTCGTTATCGCCCAAGGATAAACCCTATTGAAAATCAGAAAAATTGAAAAAATATTTAGTATGAGTTATTGCCCTTGTTCTTGAAAACGCGTTTAATTTTAGCTTGTAAACACATAGAAGGCATAATTCTTGATGGATTTTGACGAAACTTGGCATGAGTGTTGTTTATCACCCATGGATAAACCGTATTGAAAAACAGAAAAATTGAAAAATATTTAGTATGAGTTATTACCCTTTCAATTTTTAGCACGTAATCACTTTGATGAAACTTGGTGTGAATGTTCGTAATCACCCAAGGATGAACCCTATTGAAAATCAGAAGAATTGAAAAATATTTAGTATGAGTTATTGCCCTTTTTCTTGAAACCGCTTTCAAATTTAGCTCTTAAACACTAAAAGGCATGATTCTTTCTGGATTTTGACAAAACTTGGTTTTATTATTCAGTCCTGAAGATTGAATATTTGCCTTCTAGAGTTTTCACGAGCTAAAGATTGAACAAGTTTTCAAGAACTAGGGCAATAACTCATACTCAATATTATTCAGTGTTGTGCTAAAGAGTTCAAAAGAAGTGTATGACTGAAGGTTGGATATTTCATACTGGTGATTGTTACTGTATTGCTAAATATTTGTGTTCAAAATCAAAGCTGCCAGTGGGCGTATATTACCTTGCCTGGCAAGCTATCTGTTACTAATGAATATAAATTGGAACTTTTTTGCAAATCGGATAGTGGCACATTGCAAAATGTGCTCTAAAAGAAGCAGCTTTGAAGCGATTTTGCTCGGGTTGCTAGTTTTAGAATATCCTATGTGATAACAATCAAAAAATTTGAATTTTGAAAATTCATAGCTCTCTTTTTTTAGCCGAATTTTGCAAATTTTCTCGCCATTCATCCCATTGGTTTGAAATTTCTGGTGCCATAACAAATCACAACATAAAACAATTTGGCACAATCAAAAATTTTGCATGACTTCAGGTTTGCACGAAATCAATGTGCTAACTTCCGGTTGACCCACTTCCGTTTTTTATGTATGAAGGTCACTGAAACTTATACTAATAAGTAAAAAACTTTTAAAAGCAGAGGCATTTTCTACACACGAAACTTGATAGTTGAATACGGATAGTAGCACAAAATAGATAATTTACTCAAGAAGAAGAAATTTTGGACCGATTTTGCTTGGGTTTTTAGTTTAAGAATTTTGCAAGAATATCTGTTAAAAAATTCGAGTTTTGATATTTCATAGCACTTATTTTTAGCCGAATTTTGCAAATTTTTATCAAATTTTCTATTTTCTCGTCCATGCGTCCGGTTTATTTGAAATTTCTGCTGCCAAAACAGATCACTTCAGAAAACAAATAGGCACAATAAAAAATTTTGCATCACTTCCGGTTTGGGCGACATCGAGGCGCTAACTTCCGGTTGACCCACTCTCGTTTTTAATGTATGAAGGTCAGTGAAACTTATACTAATAAGTAGATAACGTTATGACTTTAAAAAGCAGAGGCATTTACGAAACATGGAAAATGATAGTTTGGCCGCCATTTTGATTTTTCTAAAATTGTGCAAAATTGTATTCAAAGATTACGGCTTATCCGATTTTGATGATTTTGGTGTCAAATTAAAGAACATTAAAATTTTAAAAAAAAACTGAAGTTAGCCGATTTTTTAATTTTGCTTTTTGCTTTTTTGCAATTTCCGGTTCAATTTGTTCGAAATTTGAAGGCTCATATATCGTAACATTGACCTTTGATGAGCTTCATATTTATCGTCATGATAATAACTGAGTTTCAACTTCTTATGACCTTCTGACCTTTAAGGTCAGTCCACAGTTTTATCGGGGTCTAAATACTGTCAATTTTGCACTTTTGCAGTGCTGTATCTTAAACCCTCTTTGATTTTCACACCACAACCTTCAGATTATTTATATACTTATTTAATGGTTTCAAATAATATCGCATTTGATGATGTCAAGGGCATATTAAAGAAAATGTTAAAATGGAACCACCTTCAAGGTAAACCCCCACTTAATTTGCCAACTTTCTTATTTTCTATCATAATTTTATCAAACTTTGTATGTGTGTTAATAATCAAATTCTAAATTTGATGGAAATATTGAATTTTTGTTGTCCGCACGCGCATTACCAACTTTTTTATTTCTGATATAAATTTCTGTCCACCTTCGTATGTACCTTTATGTTGTCACACGCCCTGCATTAGTACTGTTAAGGGAACAGTTCTATTTTTTTTTTTTGGCAAATCATACTTTAGTCTCAGAAAGGGGATTTTTTGTTTTCAGCCACTTAGTAATAGTGTTCACACTCCACCGTCGAAATTTGAGCCTTCGAATCCATGTTTGTCTAGAATTATCAGCGTTTGAAAGTTAAAATGACGACTACTATGTGATTGTGATATATAGAAAAGACAGATATAGAAATAGAAAGTAAAATTCTTAGTTTGAGATATTTTTGAAGGAATTATTCGATTTTCGTACATTTTTAGTACTCCTAAATACTATTTACATATATTCAAGAATGAAATCAACCTCCCAAAATGGCGCACCTGTCTCTTTTAACCTATTCCTCGACTGTAATTTGATATCGTGTGGGACACAAGGACATTGTAAAATAACCCACAATATCTTGATGGACTCAGTAATGGTTCAACTTTGTAGAGACACATAAAGTTACACCAAATTTAGTTTTTAAGTTAGGTGACAATAAAAACCGTGTGCTACAGGCTGTATAAGTCAAAGATCCCTCTTGAGTTGGAAATCGAAAAAGGGTAGACGCTGTCCTGGTAAAATTTCCACCATTGCACATTACATAAGCCGATGAGGTGAGACAAGTAGGACAATTTCCACCATTTCAATGACATTCTCTTTATGTAGGTCTAGGAGTGTGTGATCTTGAAAGTGAAAACCCTTGTGCCAGTGGTAGCACCTGTATACCGGGAGAAAATATCGCTGATGATCCCAACTGTGTTTGCTCGCCCGGTACCACTGGAAAATATTGTGACGGTAAGTAGAGCCAGGAGTGAATTAAGTCTGAGTTAAAGTTTTCATTATCAAAAACGTCATAAATCAAACCTGCAAATACTTCTAAAATATGCTTTTTATATCTATGTATCAAACTTAATACATTTTAAAAGAGTTAATTAAAAACAAAGTGAAATAATTGTTAATAAAGTAATTGGACCTAGTTTTAGTGTTTGGCTTTATAAAGCCTCGATATTATTAGTTGAAATCTTTAGAATACTAAAGAAAAAAAAAAAAACAAAACCTTAACTACCATTATAGGCTTGGGAATAAATATTGCCGTTTGTATAATTGTAGATACCATCAAGGATTGTAAAAATGGTGCTGAACAGAAGGAGGTTAATGGTGAATTTATTTGTGATTGTGTAGCAGGAACGTTCGGTGACGATTGTAGTAAGTTCAAACAAGAAAATTGTTTAAAAGGGATAAGTCCGCCATTTCAGGGGTTGATTTGAGTCATCGTTTTCAGACGTACCAGAAATGTACGAAAATCTCACAATTCTTTCAAAAATACCTCATACAAAGAATTTCATTTCATGTTTTTATAGATGTCTTTTTTATATATGGCCGTGTCTCAAAAACTAGTCTTTTTAACTTTCAAAGGCGCATTATTCTGGACACACATGTATTTGATTATTTGAAAGCTGAAATTCGACGGTCATTGTGAATATTATTACTTATTAACTTAGCTAAAAAAAAGTCCCGTTTCTGAATATAAGGTATGATTGAAAAACTGGTAAAACTAACAGGGACTGGTTGAACCAAGTTCATAGACCCCCACCACCCTTAAAGGAGCTCCACCCAGGAAATCTTCCAGTAACAGGAGTTATATTGACTTACAGAAGGATCTCAGGGTACAGGATAGAATATGTTCAAAACAAAATTCCCAGGAGAGGAGCATAACCCACTTAAAGGGATAGAGGCGCCAATTTTTTTAACAATCGTAATCGTAATTGAGTATTGCAGTAAAATATGTTTAAACTATTGCAAAAAATTCCCGAATCTGAGAAAAAGGTCTAATTACTCTACGTGTCCGTTTAAAGCGACTGTTCGTCATTTTTGCAGGGCCTGCTTTGTTTTATTATTTTCAAAAAAAGTATTTATGAGTGTCGAGTACTTTGCAGAACTTTTAATCGTTACAGCAACATTAGCAATGCATTGGATCTGTATATTTGTTTTTAACTAATGAATAAAAAGTGAAACATTTTTTGCAAAACGAATAGTGGCACATTACAAAATGTGCAAAAAGTAGATAATTGACTATTTTGGAAACAATTTTGGACCGATTTTGCTTGGATTTTCAGTTGTAGAATTTTGCTAGAATATCCTATGTGATAGCAGTTAAAAAAATTCGAATTTTGATATTTCATGGCACACATTTTTTAATCGAATGTTTCAAATTTTGACCAAATTTTCTATTTTCTTGCCATACTTCCGATTGATTTGAAGTTTCTGGTGCCAAAGCAGATCATAACAGAAGAATAATTGGCACGGTCACAAATTTTGCATCATGCATTCTGGCATGAAATCAATGTGCTAACTTCCGGTTGACCCACTTCGGTTTTTTATGTATGAAGGTCACTGGAATTTATACTAATAAGTAGATAACGTTATGACTTTAAAAAACAGAGGCATTTACTACACACGGAAATTGATAGTTTGGTCGTTATTTTGATTTTTCTGAAATTCTTCAAAATCTTATTAAGAGATTACGGCTTATCAGATTTTGGTGTCAAATATAAGAACACGAAAATATCAGAAAATTGTAGAAAGCCGATTTTTGAAAATAGTTTTTGCTTTTTTGCAATTTTCGTGATATTTTTTCGAAATTTGAAGGTTCATATATCGTGACCTTGACCTTTGATGAGCTTCATGTTTACCGTTATGATAATAGCTGGCGTTGAACTTCTTATGACATTTTGACCTTTGGGGTTAGTCCACAACTTCTGGTTTTTAAGAGTTCTAAATATGGTCCATTTTGCACTTTTGCAGTGCTGTATCTCAAAACCTCTTTGACTAGCACCCTACCACCTTCAGATTATGTATCTACTTATTTAATGGTTTCAAATAATATCGCACCTGATGATGTAAAGGGCATATTAAAGAAGATGTTGCAATAGAAGCACGTAAAAGCACTTAATTTCAAAACTGTTTTATTTCTCATCAAAAATTTTTAACAAACTTGGTATGTGTGTGCATAATTAAATTTTAAATTTGATGGAAATATTGAATTTTTGTTGTGCGCATGCGCATTACCAACTTTTAATTTCTTATCTAAATTTCTGTCCACCTTCGTATGTACCTTTATGTTGTCACACGCCCTGCATCAGTACTGTTAAGGGAACAGTTCTATTTTTTTTTTAGTCTCAGAAACGGGATTTTTTGTGCTAAGCCAATCAGTAATTTTCACCGTCAAAATCTGAGCCTTCGAATCCATGTATGTCTAGAATAATCAGCGTATGAAGGTTAAACTGACGACTACTATGTGATATATAGATAAGACAGATATAGAAATAAAAGTAAAATTCATAGTTTGAGATATTTTTGAAGGTATAATTCGATTTTCTTACATTTCTAGTACTCCTAAATACTATTTACATATATTCAAGACTAAAATCAGGAAAGGAAAGGAAATGGCATTTATCCCTTTAAAACAGCTTACCACAAACGTCAACGAACGATCCGTGACAGTAAGAAGAGTCAGGAGTGAATTAAGTATTCATAATTGAAGACGTCAAAAATTATATCCGAAATTTTAATTCTAAAATATGCTATTTATATCTTTGTATCTTCTTGATAAAGCTGAATTGATTTTAAACGGGTTAATTAGAAACTGAGAGCACTAATTGCAATTAGGAAGTTTTACCTAGTTTTGGTGTTTGGCTTTAAAATGCCTCGATATTATTAGTTGACGGAGGCGATTGTGGTAAGTTCAAACAAGAAAATTGTTTTACATGGATAAATGCGCCATTTTGCGTGGTTGAATTTTGTTTTATATATTATAATAGTTTTCAGAAGTACCAGAAATGCACGTTTCTTTCAAAAATATCTCATACAAAGAATTTCATTTCATATTTCTATAGATGTCTTTTCTATATATGACCGTGTCTCATAAAAAGGATGACTAATCTTTTTAACCTTAAAACGCGCATTATTCTGGATACACATGTATTTGAATACCGAAATTTCGACGGTCAGCTGTGAACATTATTACTAATTGACTTAGCTAAAAAATTCCCATTTCTGAATATATAGTATGATTGAAAACTGGTTCAAATAACAGGGACTGGTTGAACAAAGTTCATAGACTCCCACCCTAAAAGGAGCCCCACCCAGGAAATCTTCCATTAACAGGAGTTATATTGAGTTACAGAAGGATCTCAGGGTACAGAATAGTATATGTTAAAAACAAAATTCCAAGGAGAGGAGTCAAACCCACTTACAAGGATGGACGCGTCAATCGTATTTTATTGTAAAAATTCCTGTATCTGAGACTAAGGTCTGATTGGTCAAAAATGGCGAAGGTGTCCCTTTGAATCTACTGTTCGTCATTTCTACAGGGCGTGCTTTTCAAAAAAGTATGAGTGTCGAGTATTCTGCAGAAACTGTAATCGTTACAGCAACATTAGCAATGCATTGAATCTGCATATTTCATAACTAATGAAAAACGGATAGTGGCACGTTGCAAAATGTGCAAAAAGTAGATAATTTACTCTATAGGAAGCAATTTTGGAGCAATTTTGCGTGGGTTTTGAGTTTTAGAATTTCGCAAGTATATCCTATGTGATAGCACTTAAAAAATTGACCTACTCCCGTTTTTTATGTATTAAGGTCACTGAAACTCTTCCTAATAAGTAGATAATGTTATGACTTCAAAAAGCAGAAATTAATAGTTTGGCCGCCATTTTCATTTTTCTGAAATTCTTCAAAATTTTATTTAGAGATAATGGCTTGTGTCAAATTAAAGAACACGAAAGTTTAAAAATAACTGAAGGAAGCCGATTTTTGAAAATTGTTTTTGCTTTTTTTGCAATTTCCGTGATATTTTTTCTTCTTATGAACTTTTGACCTTTAGGGTCAGTTCACAACTTCCGGTTTTTTAAGGGTCTAAATATGGCCAACTTTTGCAGTGCTGTATCTTAAACCCTCTTTGATTTGCACACTACAACCTTCAGATTATTTATATACTTATTTAATGGTTTCAAATAAAATTGCAAGTGATAATGACAAGGGCATATTAAAAAAAATGTTGCAATCGAAGCGCCTTAAATGTATACCCCCACTTAATTTCACATTTTTTTATTTCTTATCTAAATTTGTGTCCACCTTCGTATGTACCACGTCACACGCCCTGCATCAGAACTTTAGTCTCAGAAACGGGATTTTTCAAGAATACAAACAACTATACAAAATGGCGCATCTGTCCCTTTAATTCACTTTTCAATTGTGTTTTGGTATCGTGTGGGACACAAGGACATTGTAGAATATCCGGCAATATCTTGATGGACTCATTTATGGTTCAGCATTGTAGAGACACATAAAGTTACACCAAATTTAGTTTTTAAGTTAGGGTGACAATAAACACAGGCACCATGTGCTACAGGCTGTATAAGTTAATGCCGCTGTCCTGGTAAAATTCCCTTCATTGCACACTTCATACGCCGACTAGCTGAGAAAGGTAGGACGTAAAAATCCATCCAATTCAATGGCAATCTCTTTATGTAGGTCTAGGAGTTTGTGATGTTGAAAGTGAAAACCCTTGTGCCAATGGTAGTACCTGTATACCGGGAGAAAATATCGCTGATGCTCCCAGGTGTGTCTGCTCGCCCGGTACAACTGGAAAATATTGTGACGGTAAGTAGAGTCAGGAGTGAATTATGTCTGAGTTAAAGGGATATTCCGCTTTTTGGAAAAAGTTTTCATTATCTTAAACGTCATAAATTATACCTGAAAATACTTTTAAAATATGCTATTTATATCTATGTATCTTCTTGATAAAGCTGAATTGATTTTAAACGGGTTAATTAGAAACTGAGAGCACTAATTGTTAATAAAGCAGTTTTACCTAGTTTTGGTGTTTGGCTTTACAATGCCTCGATATTATTAGTTGAAATCTTTAGAATACTAAAGAAAAAGAAAAACGGAGAGCACTTAACTACTATTATAGGCTTGAAAATTAATATTGCTGTTTCTATAATTGTAGATCTCGTTAAGGGTATAAATGGTACAGAGCAGAAGGAGGTTAATGGTGAATTTATTTGTGATTGTTCAAAAAAAATTGTTTTAAAGGGACAGTTGCGAAACGCTGCCATATATATAGAAATATAAATTATAATTCCTAGTTTGAGATATTTTTGAAGGAATTATTCGATTTTTGTACATTTCTAGTTCTTCTGAGGACTATTTATATATATTTAAGATTAAAATCAACCCCATAAAAATTGCGCAACTGTCCCTTTAAGTATACTGTATTTTGATATTATGTGGGACACAGGTACATTGTAAAATATCCGGCAATATCTTGATGGACTGAGTAATGGTTCAGCTTTGTAGAGACACATAACGTTACACCAAATTTATTTTTCTGGTCAGGGTGACAATAAACACAGGCACCGTTTGCTACAGGCTGTATAAGTTAAATACCTCGACAGTTGGAAATCGAAAAGGATTAGACTAATGCCGCTGTCCTGTTAAAATTATACCTGAAAATACTTTTAAAATATTCTATTTATATCTTTGTATCTACTTGATAAAGCTGAATTGATTTTAAACGGGTTAATTAGAAACGGAGAGCACTAATTGCAATTAAAAAGTTTTACCTAGTTTTGGTGTTTGGCTTTATAATGCCTCGATATTATTAGTTGAAATCTTTAGAATACTAAAGAAAAAGAAAAACCAAAGCCTTAACTACCATTATAGGCTTGGGAATAAATATTGCCGTTTGTATAATTGTAGATACCATCAAGGATTGTAAAAATGGTGCTGAGCAGAAGGAGGTTAATGGTGAATTTATTTGTGATTGTGTAGCAGGAACGTTCGGTGACGATTGTAGTAAGTTCAAAAAAAAAATTTTTAAAAGGGAAGAGTCCCCCATTTCAGGGGGTTGATTTGAGTCATAGTTTTCAGAAGTACCAGAAATGTACGAAAGTCGCACAATTCTTTCAGAAATACCTCATACAAAGAACTTCATATTTCTATAGATGTCTGGACACACATGTATTTGAAGGCTGAAATTCCGACTGTGAGCTGTGAGCATTATTACTAATTGACTTAGCTAAAAAAAATTCCGTTTCTGAAAAAGTATGATTGATCAAATAAAACTGGTACAACCAACAGGGTCTGGTTGAACCAAGTCCATAGACCCCCACCCTTAAAGGAGCCCTACCCAAGAAATATTCCACTTACAGGAGTTATATTGACTTACAGAAGGATCTCAGGGTGAAGGATAATATATATTAAAAACGAAATTCCCAGGAGAGGAGCCTAACCCATTTAAAGGGATAGAGGCGCCAATTTTTTAAACAATCGTATTTTATTGTAAAAAATTCCCGAATCTGAGAAAAAAGTCTGATTACTCAAAAATGGCGAATCTGTCCCTTTAAAGCGACTGTTCCTCATTTTTGCAGGGCGTGCTTTGGACGCCTGCTTTGTTTTCTTACTTTCAAAAAAAGTATGAGTGTCGAGTACTCTGCAGAAACTGTAATTGTTACAGCAACATTAGCAATACATTGGATCTGCATATTCCATGTTTAACTAATGAATAAAAAATGGAACATTTTTTCAAAACGGATAGTGGCACATTGCAAAATGTACAAAACGTACATAGTTTACTCTAGAAGAAGCAATTTTGAAGCGATTTTGCTTAAGTTTTGAGTTATAGAATTTCGCAAGAATACCCTATGTGATAGCAGTTAAAAATTTGAGTTTTGATATTTCATAGTACACATTTTTAGCCGAATTTTGCAAATTTTGATAAAAATTTCTATTTTTTCGTCGATTCGTCCGATTGATTTGGAATTTCTGCTGCCAAAAGAGATCACTTCAGAAAACTAATTTGCATAATCAAAAATTTTGCATCACTTCCGGTTTGCGCGAAATCAAGGTGCTAACTTCCGGTTGACCCACTGCCGTTTTTTGTGTATGAAGGTCACTGAAACTCTTAATAATAAGTAGATAAAGTTATGACTTTAAAAAGACGAGGCATTTACTATACACAGAAATTGATAGTTTGGTCGTTATTTTGATTTTTCTGAAATTCTTCAAAATTTTATTAAGATTTTGTTGCTTTTGATGTCAAATTAAAGAACACGAACAACTGAAGGAAGTCGATTTTTAAAATTGTTTTTGCTTTGTTTGCAATTTCCGAGATATTTTTTCGAAATTTGAAGGCTCAAATATCGTGACCTTGACCTTTGATAAGCTTCATATTCACCATGATGATAATAGCTGACGTTGAATTTCTTATGAACTTTTGACCTTTAGGGTCACTTCACAACTTCCGGTTTTTTAGGGGTCTAAATATGGTTAATTTTGCACTTTTGGAGTGCTGTATCTTAAACCCTCTTTGATTAGCACCCTACAAACTTCAGAAGTTTTATCTATATATTTAATTGTTTCAAATAATATCGCACTTAATGATGTCAAGGGCATATTAAAGAAAATGTTGCAATCGATGCGCCTTAAAGAAAGGTATAGCCCCACTTAATTTCACAACTTTCTTATTTCTTATCCTTATTTCATCAAACTTGGTATGTGTGTGCATAATCAAATTCTAAATTTGATGGAAATATTCAATTTTTGTTGTGTGCATGCGCATTACCAACTTTTTTTATTTCTTATCTAAATTTCTATCCACCTTCGTTAAGGGAACAGTTCTAGTTTGTTTTTGCCAATTTTTACTTTAGTCTAAGAAACGGGATTTTTTGTGCTAAGCCAATCAGTAATAGTGTAAAATTCTTAGTTTGAGATATTTTTGAAGGAATTATTCGATTTTTGTACATTTCTAGTACTCCTAAAGACTATTTACATATATTCAAGAAGACAATCAACCAAAATGGCGCATCTGTCCCTTTAATTCACTCCTCGACTGTATTTTGGTATCGTGTGGGACACAAGGACATTGTAAAATATCCGGCAATATCTTGATGGACTCATTCATGGTTCAGCATTGTAGAGACACAAATTTAGTTTTTAGGTCAGGGTGACAATAAACGGGGGGACCGTGTGCTACAGGCTGTATAAGTTAATGCCGCTGTCCTGGTAAAATTTCCTTCATTGCACACTGCATAAGCCGACATTCTCTTCATGTAGGTCTAGGAGTTTGTGATGTTGAAAACCCTTGTGCCAATGGTAGTACCTGTATACCGGGAGAAAACATCACTGATGTTCCCAACTGTGTTTGCTTGCCCGGTACAACTGGAAAATATTGTGACGGTAAGTAGAGTCAGGAGTGAATTATGTCTGGGTTAAAGGGATATTCCGCTTTTTGGAAAAAAGTTTTCATTATCATAAACGTCATAAATTATACTTGAAAATACTTTTTAAATATGCTATTTATATCTATGTATTTTCTTGATAAAGCTGAATTGATTTTAAACGGATTATTAAAAACTGAGAGCACTAATTGTTAATAAAGCAGTTTTACCTAGTTTTGGTGTCTGGCTTTACAATGCCTCGATATTATTAGTTAAAATCTTTAGAATAGTAAAGAAAAAGAAAAACGGAGAGCACTAAACTACTATTATAGGCTTGAAAATTAATATTGCTGTTTCTATAATTGTAGATCTCGTTAAGGGTATAAATGGTACAGAGCAGAAGGAGGTTAATGGTGAATTTATTTGTGATTGTTCAAAAAAAATTGTTTTAAAGGGACAGTTGCGAAACACTGCCATATATATAGAAATATAAATTATAATTCCTAGTTTGAGATATTTTTGAAGGAATTATTCGATTTTTGTACATTTCTAGTTCTTCTGAGGACTATTTACATTTATTTAAGATTAAAATCAACCCCATAAAAATTGCGCAACTGTCCCTTTAAGTATACTGTATTTTGATATTATGTGGGACACAGGTACATTGTAAAATATCCGGCAATATCTTGATGGACTGAGTAATAGTTCAGCTTTGTAGAGACACATAAAGTTACACCAAATTTATTTTTCTGGTCAGGGTGACAATAAACACAGGCTGTATAAGATACCTCGACAGTTGGAAATCGAAAAAGATTAGACTAATGCCGCTGTCCTGTTAAAATTATACCTGAAAATACTTTTTAAATATGCTATTTATATCTATGTATCTTCTTGATAAAGCTGAATTGATTTTAAACGGGTTAATTAGAAACGGAGAGCACTAATTGTTAATAAAGCAGTTGGACCTAGTTTTGGTCTTTGGCTTTATAATGCCTCGATATTATTAGTTGAAATCTTTAGAATACTAAAGAAAAAGAAAAACCAAAACCTTAACTACCATTATAGGCTTGGGAATAAATATTGCCGTTTGTATAATTGTAGATACCATCAAGGATTGTAAAAATGGTGCTGAGCAGAAGGAGGTTAATGGTGAATTTATTTGTGATTGTGTAGCAGGAACGTTCGGTGACGATTGTAGTAAGTTCAAACAAGAAAATTGTTTTAAAGGGACGAGACCGCCATTTCATGGGGTTGATTTGAGTCATAGTTTTCAGAAGTGCCAGAAATGTACAAAAATCTCACAATTCTTTCAGAAATACCTCATACAAAGAACTTCATATTTCTATAGATGTCTTTTAACTTTCAAACGCGCATTATTCTGGACACACATGTATTTGATTATTTGAAGGCTGAAAGTTCGAAGGTCAGCTGTGAACATTATTACTAATTGACTTAGCTAAAACAAATTGCCGTTTCTGAATCTAAAGTATGATTGATCAAACAAAACTGGTTCAAATAACAGGGACTGGTTGAACCAAGTCCATAGACCCCCACCCTAAAAGGAGTCCTACCCAAGAAATCTTCCAGTAACAGGAGTTATATTGACATACAGAAGGATCTCAGGGTGAAGGATAGTATATGTTAAAAACAAAATTCCAATGAATAAAAAGTGAAATATTTTTGCAAAAATGTAGAAAAAGAAATTTTGTTTTTTTTTTGCGATTTTGCGTGGGTTTTGATTTCGGGGAAGGGAGGGTTTGATTCTCCCAAATGTACAGGCCTAGGGTGGAGCAGACACTTTATTTAGAAATTAGGATTAAGGGTCTTGATATTGGGTTTTCTTCTGTTCTTATTCTGATCTGAAATTAGAAAAAATAACACGCCCGATGGGCGAGAAGTATAGTATCTGTTATGTACTGATTGTTTTTAGTTTACTATGAACAATATTATCATTTAAGTTCTTATTTTTTGAATATGCAACTATCATTTTCTGCTTATAGACATGGGGGAATTTCTCTTGAAGGCTCTTATAGTGGGCATGAACTATGTTGCTTGCTCGATTGCTGGTTGTATTAAACGGGACAACAAAGGGTGCTATGCCTACATTATGATGAATATTTAGTCCTATAGGTCTTGCTGTATTTAATGTCCCAATCCAATGGGCCTCCCTAGATTGACGGAATTTGGTAGTTTCATCTTCGGGCAAGTCAATTTCTATACGCTCAATTGGGATTAGGGTGAGATCGTCTATTGAATGGTTGCATGAAATTAAATATATTACATTCGAATGTTCACATGTTAGATGTTCCTGGATCGGGTACCTTTTATTCGTAGATTTGCTTACAAAATAATGAGTTTCTGATATAAAGGGACATGTTTTGCATCTACTGGACAAACATGGAGCACTTCTTAAACCTGGAGGTACTTCGGCATAAAGTCTGTTTTTAGCTGCTATCTGTGCTAAGGTGGAATTTTTTATGTTTCGTAAAAATCGTTTAGAGTACCCACGCTCTTTCAGTTTTGAGAAAACAATCGTACAGGCTTGGTTGAAATCGGAAGATCTTGTACAAATTCGATGAAATCGTAAAACTTGTGACTTAATTATACCAGAAAAGGTATGTTTTGGGTGAAAGGAGCTCTTGTGCAAGAGTTGATGAGTATCAGTTTCTTTGAAATACACTTTAATATCCAGTTTATTTGTTTCTGCTATGGAATCTCCCTTAAAGACTGTGGTATCGAGAAAGTCTATGCTTTTGTCACTCACGTTTGCGGTTAGTTTGATAGAAGGATGGTGGTTGTTGAGAATGTCAAAGAATTCCCAAAACTGTTCGATAGAATAAGTCCAAACCATAAAGATGTCATCCAAAAAGCGTCCGTAAAAAAGTGGGTCAAATGGACAGAGGGGCAACACCTCACGTTCCCACTCTGCCATGAAAAGGTTTGCGTACGAAGGGGCAAATCGTTTGCCCATTGCTGTCCCTGAAGTTTGTAAATATGTTTTGCCATTAAATGTGAAATCGTTTCGACTAAGACAAATCTCTAAAAGCTGTAGAATTGCATCGTCGGGTCTGTTTGGATCTGGGTTTCTATTAAAAGCTTTACGAACTGCCGTTAAACCAGTAGTGTTATCGATATTGGTATACATAGAAGAAACGTCGATAGAAATTAAAATAGCATTAGAGGGAACTCGAAGATTTTTTATTTTATTGACAAAATCGGTTGTGTCTTTAAGGTAGGCGCGATGTTGACATGCTAGAGGTAGTAAGAAATGATCAATGTATTCTGACACTGCATATGACTCACTACCACAGTCAGATATAATCGGGCGAACTTTAGGGATTTTATTCGAGATAACCACTCCTTTGTTGGATTCTTATGGATTTTAGGCAAAGTGTACAAATG